CCATCACAGGGACACCTGGACAGGTCTCCAGTCCATCACAGGGACACATAGACAAACAATCATTCACTCTCTCTCTCTCACCTACAGACAATTTAGAGTTACCATCAGTCTAACATACATGTTTTTGGTCTGTGGGAGGAAACTGGAGTACCTGGAGAAAACTCACGCATGCACGGAGAGAACATGTAAACTCCACCCAGAAAGGCCCCTGGACCGGGATTTGATCCGGCGACCTTCTCGCTGAGAGGCAGCAGCTCTACCAACTGATCCACTGTATCTCTTACAATTTCAAAGCACTTCTGGTTAAATGTCAGGATTTTCACAGATGTTCTGCAGAACGTTCCGTCATGTTTGCACCAACTTTTTAACTCCATGTAAACCAACATCTTTCTTTGTGTTCACGTTCAAGCGATGCATAAATGCAGGAACATTTGTTCTGAGTTGAGTTTCCTCTGCCTCCACAGTAATTCTTGTTGGGTTTGAATTTCAGACAGCTGGATTGGTCCCCTCTAATATTTCTGCTCATTTCTCCGTCCCTCAGCTCTGCAAGCGCGACGACACGTCGGCCGTCTGTACAGGCAGTCACTGAGCGAGCTCATGAACGGACCAATCAGGAAGAAACTGGCCATCATCCCCCAGAACGTCACCTGGGGAGGTACTGCATGTGTGTGTGTGCGTGCGTGTGTGTATGCGCCCGTGCTGCAGGTGGTCTTCCTCTGAGCTGAGTGAAGCTGACACCCCACCCACTTCCAAAATTAAATCAACTAGTCTGAATGGTTAGTGCTCCGTTAGTGCTGGTTTGTGCCGTTAAAATTTTCGTTTGTGCTGCTTTGCTTTCTGAGATATTAAAGATTAATTTTTAGCTCAACCAAAGGTCACCATCCCCCCATGTTGCTCCAAAACAGACGGGAGTGGAATACTTTTTTAGTGCATCGTTAGTGCTCGTTTGTTCCGGTGAAACTAGCGTTTGTGCAGCTTTAGTTTATGACATATTAAGAAATATAATTTCGCCCGATGATGTCACCACTCCCGTCTGTTTTGGAGCAACATGGGGGGATGGTGATGTCATCGGGCGAAATTATAATTCTTAATATCTCATAAACTAAAGCTGCACAAACGCTAGTTTCACCGGAACAAACGAGCACTAACGAAGCACTAAAAAAGTATTCCACTCCCGTCTGTTTTGGAGCAACATGGGGGGATGGTGACCTTTGGATGAGCTAAAAAATAATCTTTAATATCTCAGAAAGCAAAGCAGCACAAACGAAAATTTTAACGGCACAAACCAGCACTAACGGAGCACTAACCATTCAGACTAGTTGCTTTAATTTTGGAAGTGGGTGGGGTGTCAGCTTCACTTAGCTCTTCCTCTGCCTCTGTGAACCTCTGTGTCTGTTCAGGGCAGGCAGAGGACGTGTTCAGCAACATGGCTGGAGACTTCATGAAGCCCGTGGTGGAGGTGGTGGAGCAGCTGCTGACAGCCGGAGTCAACGTCACGGTTTATAACGGCCAGCTGGACCTCATCGTGGACACCATGGGTACGCTGACATCTGAATTAAAGAGGCATCACCCACTGAGTTTTGATGTTGAGAAGAGTTGGAGCTTTGTCAAACCTTGAAAATGATCTGGTTGGCACCTGAGTAGGTTTAATGAGTGACTCTCAGCTACCACAATAACTTTTAGCTCAGTATTTGTAGTCGTAGCTACTTTTGGTGGTGCAGAAATGTATCTGTAGATTCACACCAGTTCTCCTCCTTCAAGGTCAGGAGATGTGGGTGAATCGGCTGAAGTGGGCGGGCCTTCCTTCTTTCAGCAAGCTGAGGTGGACCCCGCTGGATGACCCGGCCTCCCCGGGCGTTACTGGAGCCTTTTTCAAGACGTACAAGAATTTTTCCTTCTACTGGATCCTCCGAGCCGGTCACATGGTAACACTCTGGCTTCTTTACTTCCAGATAAGAACAAAAACGTTCCCCGAACGTTTGAGTTTACATGTTTTTATGTTTCAGCTAGGCTTTTGCTACTTTGATGAAATTTGCTGAAGTAGATGAAAATAGGATTGAAGCTTAAAAAAAAAAGTACTAGCTAAAAGCTAAAAGGACGACAACGCTAGCTAAAACAATAGTCACGCAGCACTCTGCAGTCACTTTGTGTTTGTCGTTGCATCGTCCGTACGCAGGTCCATAAACTTCCTCTGGTCTCTGATCCGCTGAAGATCATTGAAGAAAGTTTAAAAACATCTGGACCACATGTACACGGCGTGTCACATGATCTTTTCATCATCCCAGCTCTGCGGTCAAATGTTAGACACGTTCATGTTGTAGGAGCCGTTGCTGCAGAAGAGTTTGTTGACGTCTTGCGTGGTGCTCGTTTCTACATCCAAAGGCTTTTTATTTATTTTGCTAACAAAAATCAGTTTTCTGACACTAAAGCACAAAGTTTTTCACCTCTTTGTCTTCTGTACACACAATCTTTATTTATCAAAAGCAGTCGGAGACATTAAGTCCCTTAACGCTCTGCCCCCTCATGGTTTATTTGACCTCTTTCTTTGGTAAAATAACAGATTCACATCTTGATGTCACTAAGTTTCATGAATCATTCAATTTGAAGTAAAACGCTGAATTGGTTTTTATTTGACTCACTGACGCTGAGGAAGAGAAGGAAGAGATTGGGGTTGTCATGGCAACGCTCCTAAACAACATAACTTTCTGATTTTTATTGCAGAAAGTTATGTTCGGCAAAGCTGCAGTCTTTAATAAACTCGTCTTGTTTCTCCTGACTGGATTTTATTATACGCCCGTTGAAGGTGGCCGACAGGCACAAACAAGCCGCGAACAGCTAAACGAGCCGCGAACAGCTAAACGAGCCGCGAA